CCTGTCCAGCCGCAGCGCGGGTACGGCCCAGCCGAGGCTCAGCTGTGCAAAACGCCCAAACCCTGACAAACCGCCCGAGCTGGCCCTCAGCGGCAAACAGTGCCTGGATAAGCAGGGAAAAAAACTCGTCAACTTCTGTAAATCGGCACATTTTACACATTGCCTTTATTCAAAAAATTTGAATAAAACAAAGGCTTTCATGCCACAAGCACGCAGGCACCACCAACTTCTTTGATCTTCTCCTCTGCTCTTCTACTGAAGAACTTTGCTTTCACGATTACAGGCTGCTTGGGCAGCTTCCCCTTTCCCAGGACTTTGTAGTAGCCCTAGAAAGATTAAAAAAAACCCATGAAGTGTTTGTAATCAGCCTGCAGGCTCCTACATTCAGACCTTTTAGCACACACCAGTTAAAACCAAAACTGATCACCACGACCTCATTCACTGTCTGTCTCCAATACAAAACTGGTACAAATGAAAGAAAAACACCCTGCACAAGCTAAAGGAGTTGCATCTGTTCAGAGAAAAAGTGAAAACAGTAAAATGATCTTTTCCTGTAATTTAGAAGCTGGATTTTTCCCCCCATACTCCATATACAGAGAACACAAATCTGGTAAAGGAGTCACCAACCTCTCCCCATTTTTCTGAAGGGGAGAGCAGTTGGCTGCACTTCCAAGCCCACCTACTACCCGGTGACTTCTGGTCAGTGTTTTTTACCTCTAGGACATCCTGGTACTTCTGAACAGAGCAGAGGACTCTTCTGCATGTCTGAAATGCACAACCGAAGCTTTCGCAGCAACAGCTGTTCCTACCACTGGAATCCTCATTTTATTCCTGTCCTTTACACTACAGGACAATCTCGGCACAAAGCCCATGAATATTGCAGCCATTGAAGCCATCGCTTTTTAGAAGGGGCATAACTGGCCAACACAGGTACCTTAACTGGGGACACAGAACGCACCCCCTTGGCAGACCAGTTCATGTCACTGATTCGGTGGCTGGCTGAGATACAAAACATCACAGCCAGTGAATAAGGACCAGATGTTTCTGTCCGAGAACTACAGCACACCAAGACAATCAAACATGTGAAGATGTGACTCTAGTCTCGACATTAGAGAAGCGACTACATATAATGAGACAGTTCTGTCATGGATTTATACATGCTTTCAGTAACATTTTAAACATGTAAACTTTCAACCACCTTCCAAAATAAAGTCCCTGTCCACAATCACACCCCAGCATGAGAAAAAGTTCTTACAGGAAAAAACATAGCAGCCTAAGTGCCTGTGTAACTACCTACAGGCCAAATCACTTGTCCTGAGAAGTTCACACATATTCAAGCCCTGTAGCTTATTTGCAGTTCGCCATTTTCCTACTTGAATGCAGAAAGCTAAGTTACACATGAAGTGACCAGGAACTGCAGGTTTGAACATGAGCAGAAACTTACTGAGCGCACAACATCAATGACTGGGGCCAGTCCAGCCTCTTTTTTTGCGTAATTGAGCCTTGTCTGTTCACTGACAAGCGTCCACAGTTTATCCAAATTGACAGTAGGACAGAACTTTTGATTCCTCTTCAAGTGATAGTGTCTCATGCCTACTTTTCCAAAGTAACCGGGGTGACTGTGAAAGAAACACATTCCTCATTAGATCAAATATTTAATTCATATGAACAGGTAGGACTACAAATTAACACTGAAACAAGCTTGAGCAAAGTAATCAACATGTCACATTATACTTGTATTCATAGTAACACATGTAGTATTTAAGTGTAATAATCATTAGTATCCAAACAAAGGAAAAACTATTTTCTCCTGTGTTGTTCTCCCTTGAACTCACAACTCAACCCCCTCACTGGTGAGTCTAGTCCAGCCCTGTATTTCCAGGGTAACCCCAACTCCATGAATCCAGGGAGGGCTGCACTGCCTGAGGAGCTTCAGCACTCCTGTCACTAACCTGGTGACTGACTGAGTCAAGAACGGTCACAGCCAGTGAATATAGATTAGTGGTCACTGTCCGAGTACTCTAGCACACCAGGACAACAGGCAGTGTCCAGATGTGACTCTAGTCTCGGCAATAAGACAACATCCCCTACCTTTACAGCTAAATAGGATGCAGTTTGGATTTAACCTAACATTTTGAATTTACACAACATTTTGTGTGTGCACCACTAAGCAGGGACCACGTTGCAACAGGCAAGTTTGGTCAGGTTTACCAAATGCTGCACTGAACTCTTGAAGACACCTGGTTTAAGTGAAAAGGCCTTTAGAGTAAATGAAGACATCAGTTGACTATAGCTGTAATACCACACCTGACGTTACGAGGAAAAAACATGTAGCACTGCAGGAAATTTTGTTTATTCGCATATGAAAGTTAGTTGCTTCTACTTCAGGAACATACATTTTGCTAGTATATATTTAAAATGTTAGCTTACTATTTATCAAAGTTAATCCTGTGATGGTGCAAACCACCAGCATTACCACGCCCTCCAGGATGTTTCCTGTGTTTGCCTAAAAACAAAAATTTAAGTTTGTTACACTATTACACATAATACTTGAGCTTAGAGGTATGGTCAAGGTCAATTTAAGCTAATTACTCTGATTCTGTCCCCTCTTTTGAATTCATCTCAATTCAGTGAGATGATGCAATTAAAAACTAATCCTCTAGGAGAAAAAACCATAACCATAGCATGCTTCCTCTTAGCTTACTGGAGTACAAGACACCAGTGCTAGCACAAGACAAGAACAGGTAGGAATGGCCAGAGTTAGAACGGACAAAGCACTGCCCGGTAAGCTTAAGCCATCACACAACCACATTCTCAGGCAGTACCTATCACCTGAGCGCTACTGAAGTTACAAATCCGGTGAATCTAAGAGAACGTGCAAGACTTTGGATCAGCCCATCCCTGTGGCATCTGCCCCCACAGCGCGAGGATCACCCGCACACGCTGCACCCGTCAGTACTGCTCGCTACCACCCAGCCGGACCCTGTGCCCGGCCCTGCGCCCAGCGTCCCATCTTTCTGCGACCCGTGAGGAACAGCAGCATCCCCTCAGTACCGGGGAGGTACCGACGGGCACGCACTCAAGAGGGGCCTCAAGCTCACCAGCGGCCGCCTCCCCACTCACCAACGC